GGATTAAGAATTACGGATAGGCTGGTGCGGTGCCTCACGCCTGTAATCCTAGCACTTTGGGAGGCCGAGGCAGGTGGACCACCTGAGGTCAGGAGTTCGAGAGCATCCTGGCCAACATGGCGAAACCCCGTCTCTACTAAAAAATACAAAAATTAGCCAGGCATGCTGGTGCATGCCTGTAATCCCAGCTTCTTGGGAGGCTGAGGAAGGAGAATCACTTGAACCTGGGAGGTGGGGGTTGCAGTGAGCTGAGATTGCGCCTCCAGCCTGCGCGACGGGAGTGAGATTCCATCTCAAAAATAAATAAATAAATAAATTACAGATAAAGACCAGGCACAGTGGCTCATGCTAGTAATCCCAGCACTCTGGAAGGCTGAGACAGATAATTGCTTGAGCTCAGAATTTCAAGATCAGCCTAGGAAACATAGTGAGACCCGCATCTGTACAAAAGAGGAAAAAATTAGCCGGGCATGTGGCACATGCCTGTAGTTACAGCTACTTGGGGAACTGAGATGGGAGGATCATTTGAGCCCAGAAGGTTAAGGCTGCAGTGAGCTGTGACTGACCCATTGGACTCCCGCAAGGGTGAAAGAACAAGACCCTATCTCAAAAAAAAAAAAAAAAAAGGAATTACAGATGTAAATCTCATAGCACAACACAATAGTGTTCTTGTACACTGTTCCACAGACTCTCTTTAAGACCAAACCCTAAAAGGATAAAAAGATTGATTAAAAGATTTCTTACAATAGTCTGAAAGGGGTCGGTAGAAATGGGTGGCCATCAATAAACCCAATGTTCCTACCCTGAAGAAATGAGAAGTTTTATTTTCTCAAAGCACTAAATGAGGCAGGTAAGCTTAAGGGTGAATATTTTTATAAACTTTGATTAATGAATTGCTTGGGAATAGGGTCTGGTCATGGTGGCCTACGCATATAGTCCTAGCACTTTGGGAAGCTGATGTGGGTGGACTGCTTGAGTTCAGGGGTTCGAGACTAGCTTGGGTAACACGGCAAAACCCATCTCTACAAAATACAAAAAAATTAGCAGGACGTGGTGGTATGCGCCTATAGTCCCAGCTACTCTGGAGGCTGAGATGGGAGAAGTGCTTGAGACACTTTTTTCTCTCAAAAAAGAAAAAGAGAGTTGTTTGGGAATAGCATCTAAGTACTACAGAGCCTTTGGATACAGGCTACTAAGTGAAAATTCTAGCAAGATGGTGAAAATATAACTCCTAAAATTATTGTTTCGATTTTTTTTTTTTTTAGGCGTTAAAGAATACGCTGATTTTTATTTTACTTTTTAAAACAGGGTCTCATTATGTTGCCCCAGGCTGCAGTGCAGTGGTGCTATCAGGGCCACTGCAGCCTTGACTTCCCAGGAATCAGGGCCATTGTGGCCTCAACCTCCCAGGCTCAAACAATCCCCCCCCTTAGCCTCTGGAGTAGTTGGGACTAAAGGCACATGCCACCACACCCAGCTAATTTTTGTAGAGATGGGAGCCCAAGCTGGTCTCAAACTCCTGGGCTCAAGTGATCCGCCTGCCTCAGCCTCTCAAAATGTTGGGATAACAGGTGTGAGCCACCATGCCCAGTCTATTTTATTTTTTGTAGCGACAGGGTCTCACTATGTTGTCGAGGCTGGTCTTAAACTCCTAGGCTCAAGAGATCCTCCTGCCTCAGCCTCCCAAATTGCTGGGATTATAGGCGTGAGCCACTGTGCCTGGCCTGATTTTCTTTCCTTAAAAAAGTCAACTATTTGATTCCATGAGAATAAAATAGAATACAATTATATTTGATAAAATCCTATTTCATAAAAATTCTATGAATTCTATGATATCAGAAACCGTTTTTTTTTTGCATTTCTAAGGCCTATTTACCAGGCCTTAGAAATGCAAAAAAAGGCTTCTGATCTCACAGAACTTCACATCTGGAGCTAAGAAGAGGAACAGATACTATTATTTATAATTGGTGAGATATAGAAGCTATAAGAAGAATTGAAAAAGTGTTGTAGGAGAATATAGTGCAGTGAATAACTGATTTTGACTAGAGTTTAGAGAAGGCCTCACAAAAGGAGACAAAATTTGTAAATCACTAAAAATGTAAGCAGGAGTTCGTCAGGTAGACTAGAGAGGGGTACAGATTGGAGAAAGACTTCTTAGGAAGCATCTGAGATATATGAAAATGACTAATCCAAATGTCTTTAACAAAAATTGATTTTAAAAAAAGGGGAAAATAAAACACTGGATAGAATAAACACAAAATTTCAGTTCATATATTTGTGCTTTCTAAAGCAAGCATTGGGCTGGGCACGGTGGCTCATGCCTGTAATCTCAATGCTCTGGGAGGCTGCGGCACAAGAATCACTTGAGGCCAGTTCAAGACCAGCTTGGGCAACATAGTCAGATACTATCTCCATAAAAAATTGAAAAATTAGCTGAGCACGGTGGCGTATGCCTGTAGTCCCAGCTACTGGGGAGGCTGAAGCAGGAAGATCACTTGAGCCTAGGAGTTTGAGTTTACAGTGAGCTACAACTGCACCACTGCATTCCAGGCCTGGTCAAAAGAGCAAGACTCTGTTTCTTTTCTTTCTTTTTTTTTTTTTTTTTGTGATGGAGTTTTACTCTTGTTGTGCAGGGTGGAGTGCAATGGCGCAATCTCGTCTCACTGCAACCTCTACCTCCCGGGTTCAAGTGATTCTCCTGCCTCAGCCTCCCCAGTAGCTGGAATTACAGGCGCATGTCACCATGCCCGGCTAATTTTACATTTTTAGTAGAGACGGGGTTTCACCATGCTGGCCAGGCTGGTCTTGGACCTAAGAAGATCTGCCCACTTTGGCCTCCCAAAGTGCTGCGATTACAGACGTGAGCCACCGTGTGCCCAGCCAAGACCCTGTTTCTAAGGAAGAAAAAAAGAAAGAAAGAAAAAAAAAACAATAAATAAATAAAGCAAACATTGAAGTTGTCCTATTCAACTCTGCCTAACTAGAGATTTAGCTCTCAACCTTTCCTGGTGTTGGGGGTGATGGGAAAGATTCCAGGCAGAGGGAACGGCATGGATATACCACAAAACTGGGAACAAGCTTGTCATATTCAAGAATCTGAAACAGGTGCACGCCTTGACCGTAGTTTGACACAGTAAATACTTATTCAATGACAGATGGTGTGACCTTGGGCAAGAGAGACCAAATGTGACCTAGGATGTCAGAAATGCTTCTTCAGGCTTTCAAAAATCAATCTGTTTTCAATTGAGAGGCCATTCATTCTAATCTTTCTTTTTTTTTTTTTTTTTTTTGAGACAGAGTCTCACTCTGTGGCCCAGGCTGGAGTGCAGTCGCGCCATCTCGGCTCACTGCAAGCCCCGCCTCCCGGGTTCAGGCCATTCTCCTGTCTCAGCCTCCTGAGTAGCTGGGACTACAGGTGCCCGCCACCATGCCCGGCTAATTCTTTGTATTTTCAGTAGAGATGGGGTTTCACTGTGTTAGCCAGGATGGTCCCAATCTCCTGACCTCGTGATCCGCCCGCCTTGGCCTCCCAAAGAGCTGGGATTACAAGCATGAGCCACCGTCTCCGGCTAATCTCCCTTACTTTCTTATTCTTCCCACAGCTTTCCAGTCATGCCACCCACGTATATGGACCATTGTCCTTTACCCAGTCTATCCAGTCTGGAAGACTTTTTCAGGTACTTTTCCTTCATATATAGGCACACAGTCAATATACATCCAACTCTATGCCTTTGAACCCAGCAATTATTTCACTGGGTGGTGAGTCAGTGGTGCACCCTGGGAGTTGGTCCAGCGCCCTTGGCACATGAAAGCCTTTGAACATGGGGCCAGTGGAGTGCTACATGAAATACACTCCATCAGGCTTATGCTCATCTTGCTCTTTTTAGATAGAGTCTTGCTCTGTCGCCCAGGCTGGAGTGCAGTGGTGTGATCCCTGCTCACTGCAGCTTATGCCTCCTGGGTTCAAGCAATTCTCCTGCCTCAGCCTTCCAAGTAGCTGGGATTACAGGCAGGCGCCAACACACCCAGCTAATTTTTGTAGTTTTTAGTAGAGACGGGGTTTCGCCATGTTGCCCAGGTTGGTCTCAAACTCCTGGCCTCAAATGATCCGCCCGCCTTGGCCTCCCAAAGTGCTGGGATTACAGGCGTGAGCCACCACGCCCAGCCTGGGTTTCTGTATTAGAATAACCCTGGGCAAGACAACCTTCTGAGCCTTGCCATTATCACCTGGAAAGCAGGTCTAATACTCATTGCCATGCCATGTTCACAGAGCTGTTGTGAAGATAAAATGCAAGAATGATGGGGAAAAAAATCGAGTAATTATAACTGACATTTGTTTTATTCAGAGCTAGACGCTGATGCAAAGCATCAGGACGATGCTCTGACAGAGGAGGAAACGTAGGGCTGAAATCAGCTTCGTATGCACACTGGCTTTGATCAAACCGCTGCACAGCAACCAGCAGCTCCACCCTGATGAAGCAGAGGGTGCAGGTTAAACGGCTCAGACCCTGGGTCTGGCTCCATCTCTAACCGTGTGACCTTGGGCCTGTAGCTTAACCTGTCTGGGGTTCCGCTTCCTCTTGCGTGGAACGGGGATCACAGAAGGGGTTCAGACGGAACTGAGAGGGTCCATTTAAAGCTCTGGCCAGTGGTGTCTTGGTAGGCAGTTCATTTTCACTTTACCATTATATTTGTTCTTACCGATTTAAGGGCACCACCATGACGTTTGTGGCGCTTAGCGGGGTAAAGTGTGGTCAGGAAGACCGGGGTTTGAGTGGCGCAGGGCCTAGGCCGCTCCTTTCCTGGGCTTCAGTTTCCCGCCTCAAAATGATGGGCGGATTGGTTGAGCAACACCCACCCTTCCCGCCCCTCGGCGCCTGGCTGCGCAGCGACCCTCCTAAATGGGGAAACTCCCACCACCCCATAGGCCGGGGAAGGGGCGGGGCAGGGGTGGGGCCTGGCGAAGGTAGGGTCGGGCCGCCCTACCTGCTGCCGCTCACCTCTAGGCTGTAGTTGCCTCGGATGGCAGTAAAGTCGTCCAGGGCTTCGGCCGCGCTCCCCTCGTCCAGGTTCAGCTCCTGGCACAGGGCCTGTAGCGCCTCCCCGGCTGCGGCGACCACCGCCACCCCCTCAGCGTGGGACTCGTCCTCGAACATCCCTTCAGGCCCCGCGGGCGGCGCGCCACGGCCCCCGACTTCTTTCTCCCTCCCAGGCGCGCTACCCACAACCACCTGCGCCAAAGCGCGCGAAAACTTGCAGTTGCGGGGGTGCTTCGTCATCCACCGTCTGCCTCCGCTTTTCTCCTCAAAAAAAAGTCCGTTTTTCCTCCGGAGCTCCTAGCCGTCCCTCCCCGGAAATGTGATAAGAATACGGACCTCAGATTCTGAAATACCTGGCCTTAGCCCTTGGCTGGTCGCGGGGGGCCGAGCCGGCGGGACAAAAAAAAGAGCGGAGGGATCCTCAGCCTGCGCGCAGAGCCTGCTGGGAGGTGTAGTCCATCTCCTGGGAGATGAAGCCCGCGGCCTCCCCCTGTCTTCCTGGTTAGGCTCTTGGGTTTTTGGGCAGGCCTGGGCTGCCTACTGCGAGGTGGCCTCGTGCAGCGTAGTGAGATGCCTCCTCTATCCACGGGCCCTGGGTTTGTCACTGTCCCGGGACGCCAAACATAATCTGACTGAGCTGTACCCCTTGAGTTAGGAGATGGAGGTTGGAAGAGGAAAGAAATAGCCCCTGGATGAAGAGGGGCCTCCTGGGACTCTCCCCAAAGTCCCAGTGCCCAGTGAGCGGTTCGCTAAATGACGGAGGGGAAGGACTCGTGAGGGATATTAGAAGATGGATCCTCATCTTATGTTAGTCGCTAAAAGAGGCGGGCAGAGAAGACTGCAGTAATGAGGCAGGAGAATAGGGTCTGGAGGCAGGGAACCTATGGCTGTTTCACGTGACTTCCTAGAACTAAATTGAAAGGAAAACCC